TGTTTTTGATGTTTGATAGCCATGTCCTGAGTTATTCAGTATTGTTGACAGAGGAAACAGTGCAATAACAAATAGTAATGGTGATAATGAATCTCCTTGAAATATTCCTCTCTTGATATTAACCTCTCCCAGCTTCTCACCATTGATCTGCAACTGTGTCTTCCATTGTGCCATCGATTTTTGCACAAATTTTCTGATGTTTCTACTTACTCCTGTTATTTCTAGGCACTTTATTATCCAATCATGTGGCAGAGAGTCAAATGCCTTTTTGTAGTCAATCCATGCCACATTCAGGTTGGTCTTCCTTCTCTTGCAGTTTTCCAAGATCATTTTGTCTATTAGGAGTTGATCTTTTGTTCCTCTGCTATTGGGGCGGTTTCCTTTCTGCTCAGGTGGAAAGAGATTGTTTTCAACTAGATGCTGTTGTACTGCATCAGCTACCACACCAGTTAGTAATTTGAAAGTTGTTGGTAAGCAGGTAATTGGCCTGTAGTTACCTGGTGTTGCCCCTTTTGCTGGATTTTTCATTATTAGGTAGGTTTTCCCAGTTGTTAGCCACTTTTCAATTTCTCCTCCTTGTAGTATATTGTTGAACTGCTTGGCAATGAGTGGGTGTATAACAGTTAGATGTTTCAACCAAAACCCATGCAGTTCATCTTCACCTGGTGCTGACCAATTTTTGATTTTCTTTGCTCTTTTTTCTACCATTTTTGTTGTTATTACTAGTTCTTTCATTTCAACTTCTGTTTTATTTGCATCCACCTCTTTTAACCAAGCCGCATCCTTGTTGTATTTCTTTGGGTTATCCCATATCTGCTTCCAGAACTGCACTGTTTCTTCCTTGTCAGGTACTGACTGATTCCTTGCAGTTTCTCCATTGATGGATTGGTAGAAACGTTTCTGATTGGATTGAAATTGGAGGTTCTGCCTATAGTTTGCAATTCGAGCTTCATATCTACTGATTTTCCTGGCTATAGCTGTTATTTGTTGCTTTATTATTTCCAGTGCTTCCTTGATCTTCCTTGTTTCTAAGTGGTATTTCTTGATTAGGTATTCTTTGGTCTTCTTGTTCTTCAGCTTCTTTTCTTTCATCTGTTCTAGCTTGCTTGCATGTGATCTTAACTTGCTGATCTTATTTTCTAGTCTAACCTTCCATTTTTGTATTATTATTATTATTATTATTATTATTATTATTATTATTATTATTATTATTATTGATCATCGCACAGTCAGCAGATGTTCAGACTGGATTTGGCATTTTGTCTACCTATCGAGTCCTTACCCAGGACCTGGGATAGGCAGATGTGGATGTTTGATGGTATTACAGGTATCGTCGCAGGATGGAAGTAGTTCCTAGTAAGGCCGCCTTTTGCAATTGACTAATAGTGAATTTGTCAATGCGAAATTTCTCTAGCTCTTTCTCGTCTATTCTGCTGTCTCCAGGCACTGCCACGTCCACTATCCAGACTTTTTTGTCTTTCTTATCGACAATTGTTAGGTCTGGGGTGTTATGTTGCAGGTGCTTGTCTGTTTGAATTCTGAAGTCCCAGAGCAGTTTAATTTTATCATTTTCTATGACTTTCTCTATTTTATGATGCCACCAGTTTTTGCTTACAGGCAAATGATATTTTTTGCAGATCTTCCAATGCACCATTGTTGCTACTTTGTCATGCTGCTGCTTGTAGTCAGTCTGTGCAATCTTCTTGCAACAGCTTACCAGGTGGTCCACTGTTTCTTCAGCTTCTTTGCATAGGCGGCACTTACTGTCTGTTGCTGTCTTCTCAATTTTGACTTTATATGCATTAGTCCTTAAGGCTTGGTCTTGTGCAGCCAGAATTAGTCCCTCAGTCTCTTTCTTCAATTTTCCTGCTCTTAGCATTATTATTATTATTATTATTATTATTATTATTATTATTATTATTATTATTATCATCATCATCATCATCATCATCATCATCATCATCATCATTATTATTATCATTATTATATCCTGTTTTCAAAAATTCTTGTTTAAGCTTAATTTTCCCTCAATATTTTGGTCATTCCTCAGTCCTAGTTGTCTTCAAATTAATTACCTTTAAATTTCAAACTTTTCATTTACATATGAAAGAAGGAAGAAGGAAGGAAGGAAGGAAGGAAGGAAGGAAGGAAGGAAGGAAGGAAGGAAGGAAGGAAGGAAGGAAGGAAGGACCCAAAGGCAATAACAACTTTCTAGAATCTTTTTTTTTAAAGAAAACAAAAGAGCATTTTAAGACCAAAGAACACCCTCAGAATGATCCATTTTTCTGAATACCTAATAAAAACACCTTCTGCTAGTTTCTTGAAGCATTCCTTTATTCTGACAATTTGGGCTCTCGATGAACTTTTATACCCCTAAGACTGGTATAGAGAAAGAATTTTGGGATGCAGTTTCTTCAGTCCCAACAGCTGGACCTGACAATATTTTCTTTTCAGTTGTTAAAGGAACAGTAGTCCATTCAGACTCTCAGATTGGTAAGATTATGCTTGTCAAAAGAGAATGAGGTCAATTCATTATTGTTCAATAGCTCCCAGATGGTAAAAATAGGGCAATACAAATCCAAGTTCAGTAAGTTTACATCAAACTTCATTTTCAAAAAAAAAAAAAAAAGGTCAGGATTCTTTGTGCAGGTATATGTCAGGACCTATAAGCTATACACTATAAAACCTCCCAAAAAATTATCATCTTTTAGAAAGCTTATTTATTTATTTAATTTATTTCTTATAGCTAATCTACCAGATGAAATCCTGCACCTGCAAACAAAACATAATACAATTTTAAAAACCTGTTTACAACATTGTAGGCTCCATAAAACTCCAACTGTGCCAATTCCATCAACGTCTCAGCCCTAGTACCTGAGGAAAATACTTACATTTGGAATATAAATCAATCTTTATTTTTCATACCTATGCAAACCTATCCAAAACTAATTCCGTTTTCATGGGGCTTACTCCCAAATCTTGCAAAAGATTTGCAGGATGATTTGGGAGTTTGTAATCATTATATAATCAAAGCTATTTTGAGACATTGGGACTACATCCCAAAGGCCAAAGTGGGCATTGTTCCCACTTTGCCACCATAAGCCTTTATCTTATTTTACTATCAAAAACTCCATTAAGGAGAGCAAGATGAGGATTGTTTGTTGGCAGTCTCCCAGCCCTAAATCATGTACTCCAATTGAGAATAATTTGACAACTTAAGAAGTAATCAAATGTTATGTCTAGCTATTATGTAATATTAGAAGGAACTTAGATATCTATTGGACATGCTAGAGACTTCCAACATTGGATTTCCTTGCCCATTATTTAAACAAAAGTCCCCAACTCTTCACCTCATTAATCTTTTCGTGAAGTTTCAGATTGAACACCCAAACATTTATTATATGAAATTAATTTAATAACTACTACTTTAACTAACAGCACTACAAATAGCAACAAGATCTCTTAGATAGTCCTATTGATCCTTGGTAGTTAGTATTGACCACTTTGGGAACTCTGATTTAAACTATAACTATATAATTAAACTATACATTTAATGTAGGAGAAAGCTCATTGGGACTGAATAGATAACATACAGGCTTGAATGATTAGTCATTCTCAGATAATACTGAAAAATTTGCCTAATCAAAAAAGCTGGAAAAAGAAAAATGATGGGTACATAGTTAAAATCTTCCTTTGACTCTCAGCCAAACAGGGTTATATATGCAGCCAATAATATTAATAATAATTAGCTCAGAAAAAAACCCCCTCACTTTAAGCAGCAACTATATCTTACAAAGCCTTGAAGCAGGCTATTGGGGTTTCCAAATTTCATCACTTCTCCCTGGATAGTCCAGAGAGAGAAAAGCAAAGTGCCTCTGACTTATTTGATTCCAAGAATACTTGGGTAGCTTCTACTCTATCCTCTTTTTTAAAATTCAAAAATAATTATGCACCCCAAGAAGCAGGCTAAAGAGAAGCCCAGGCTTCTGAGCCCATCAGTGTTTAAAGAAGCTGCCAGTGGCTTGACAAAACAGCTGTTTTTACTCTGTATTTTTTGTTTTGTTTTGTTTTGTTTTTTTAAAATAATCTGCCTCGCATACTTTGGCAAAATGACAGGTATATAAATGCAAAAACTAAATGGGAAGAAACACATACAATATTCAAGGACAGGAAATTGTGAAGCTCAAAGGAGAATGCTCTCCCCTCCTTCTATACTGTCTGGATCCCATGTAAATGCACCTCTTTCTCTTCTTTTGAAAGGTCTGTGGAGGAGTCATACTAAGAAATTTCTGCAGCAACTTTATGCCTTTCATTTGCTAATTCACGATGGGGGAAGGGAAATCAGTAAGGCTACATGGCTGGGATGAAAAGCCCTGTAGTTTTTCTATTTGATCCATACAGTCTATAAGAGCTCTGCAGTGTTTGTGCTGCAGCCTTTGGGGAGGGCTGACAACTTTCCCCATATTGGGTAAATCCACTTGGAACGTCTGGGAACTGTCATCCGGAAAGCAAATGACTTCCCTCCCCTTCATATGGCCCAAGTACTCAGCAGGATTTCTGGACAAGGTGGTTGATTTGGGATTGAATTAAGAGAAGTGAAATATTAAGGACACCAAGAAAGTTCCATTACTACCAAAGTAGAAGTCATCCAGTTCCTCTCTACTCTTACACTTTTTCAAGTTCAGAAAAGTTAGTTCTGATGCTGATCAAAAGCAAATTTAAATCTGTATGTATTCATAATCACTTAATGCTTTTCTATCTATATACACTAAAGCTCTCATTCCTTTAACTCAGGAGTGGAGAACAATGGCACCTTTATGACAGCATGGCTGGCTCAGGAATTCTGGGATCTGAAGTTTCCCATCTCTGCTTTAACTGGTCAAAAAGGTGCACTGTAGGACAATTTTTGAACCAATGTTTTTTTAAATGGGCTAACTTACAGAATATGTCCAAAATTTGAAAGCCATAATTTCTGTATAATTGAAATTTGGCAAATTGTGTTAAACATTTTATGACATAAAAATAATCATAAAGATTTTATGACATAATACAAAATGTCATAAAACACTTCCTGGTAGCAACCACTGATGTTTGACTATGTTATACAGTTCAACATGGGCTATATTCCAGTGAAGGCAGGACATTATAAGTTCTGTGGTGGTTAAAGATATTGAAGAATCTGGTAAGGAAATCTCTATGAAACTATGACCCAAGGGGGGGGGGGTTACGAGTTGTCTAATTATAGGGAACAGTGAAAACATCACCTATAACTTTTACAATCTACGCCATTGTTATTAATTTTTTAATTAATTTTAATTTTAAAAAGCCAGTTCTTCAGTTTGCATTATTTAATCTTCAACAATTCTAACTATATTTCCCTGATTGTCATTTTATTCAGTTCCATTTTAAAATCTCTTTTGCCAATACACTTATATAAAGGCATTTATATAAAGGGTATAAACCAGTGGTGAAATTCAAATATGTGAACCACGGGTTCTCTGTGTGGATGCCGCTTTCGGAAGTCCATTCTGGGCCTGGGCAACAGAAAAATAGCTACCGGTTCTGCCGAAGTGGTATGAACTGGCTGAATCCCACCACTGGTAGAAACAGACTTTCAGAAACAGATTGCTACCTCAAAAGTCTCATTGTTGGATTATATATAAATAAACTTGGTTTCATTAAGTATAAATTCATGCTTTTATCAAATGTACTTCTAGACTACTCTACAAATCTAGCAGTTCATAATATTATGAATAGTTCTGTTTGGATTAAACTGTCTTGTGGGAAAATGGTAATAAAAGTTTAAACAAAGAGAAGAAATTAAGCAATTTCCCCAAACAAATACTTCTGGATAAGTTGTACTACAAACTCCCATAATTTTCCTGCAAATACAGTTGTTGTCCTGCTGACATCAGTTGGGAAGGCAATCAGGAATAGTGACAAAATATATGGCATGATTTATACACTCTTTCCGTTCATGAGGGCACAATTGGTGCCATGAAAACTCCAGGAAGGTGTTTCCATTTTTGTGACATCATGTCTTGCTGAAGACAGGCTATAAAAGGTGCCTTTTTGATCCTTTAACCTGAGTCATAAGAGAGAGAGAAAAGGATCCACTACATATTCAGAACTTCTAAATCAGTGGTTCTCAACCTTTTTAATGCCGCGACCCCCAACCGGTCGTAAGTCGAGGACTACTCAACTGGTGCAGCACCGTTTGCAGAATGGGACTTTTGGCGGGCTCAGCAGGGCAGAGACAGCCTGGACAATTCCTATTGGCTTTTGAAAGCCAATAGAATTAGACTCTATTCAAGAGAGTCTATTCTATTGGCTTTCAAAAGCCAATAGAATAAAAGGGAGTAGCACAGCTAAGGAAAAGGAGGAAAAATTGGCGGACTGTGTTCTTTGGCGATCCCCGTGAAATGGTCGTTCGAACCTAAATGGGGTCCCGACCCACAGGTTGAGAACCACTGTTCTAAATGGTTTCTTAAGAGTTCAAGTGTTATATACAAAGTATAACTAATTTTTTTTTTCTTGACAGAAAGTTTGTACACAGCTATATTACTTATAAATTCTTTTAAGACAACATGTTAGAGTCAACCTAAAGTAAAAAAATCAGAATAGTATTTAGAGATCAAAGATAAAATTCCAGATATAGAATCTGTATGAGCAATCAAAAGAAATGCTACCATTTATTTGGTGCTGCCTAATAAACATTTACCACAGATGATCTTTTGGATGAAAAGCAAAGTGGGTTTTAAACAGAGAAACATTTTAGAAAATGTTTTCATAGATTTATATAAGTTGAATTGATTCTGGACAAACCTGAATCAAAAGTCTTAACTGTATTTAGATATATTTATCTAGGAATTTCTTGAAAGTTTTATTTGAATTTCTCTTTCTAATTATTTGCTTTTATTCATGGAGAGTCTCAGTGCAGTATTGTATTGGGAGGGGTGTGAAATAGCTGGGCATCAGCAGGTTCCTGTTGATATTTCTCACAGTTTGACTGATGCAATGTGCTCTACATGGAGTTGCCCTTGAAGATCACATGGTCCATAATGCAGTTGCACAAGCAGAGATGGATCTGCCTCAGAATGCCTAGGTAACACTACAAGCTTGCACCAGTTGCCAGTGTGCTTATAGGTACAATTCAAGGTACTGGTTGCTATCAATAAAGCCCCACATGGTAGAGGGCCTGGTTACTTGAGGGACCACGGCTTGTCTACCATAGTATCTCCCTGGTAGATTTGATCCTGCAAGGTTGGCAGGGTTCCTTTGATTAAACAAGGTCCTTCACTGGAACCCTCTATTGCAATACCTTCTCTATTACAGTGCCTGTCCTCTGGTATGAGGATCCCCCAAGATTCAAATGATACCCCCTCCCCATCTGCTGTTATTCAGGCCATCCAGGCCAGTTGCCACTTTTTATCTTTTAAAGATTTTATTGTAATTTCTTTTATTGTCATGAGTCATTCAGAGTTAGCCAGAGTATTTATTTATTTATTCATGTGATTTGATGTATTTCTTCAATAGTCCCATCAATCCACATCTTCATTTCTCCCGTTAGGAAGAATGGTATTACAAAGGAATTAATAGGATGAGTACAGCCACTGTGTTTGCTACTTCTTCCTGTTAGGCTGAGCCTCACAATCTATTGCTAATATTACTTTGGAGGGGAGGTTTTCAGAATGTTCCTATGAGCAGATAATATCTGGCTCTTTTTGATTTAGAGATAATGCTGTGCGTAGGATATGCTTTCAATTGATGTGGTACCCTTGCAAGTCTGGTGGGCTTCACTGTTACCATACAGTAAAAGGAAATATAATCTAAAGTGAAACACAGGCTCCCTTTTGGCTGCAAATGGAGTACTGCAAGCCATTACCAATTCTATAATGATTGGAAAACTCCTAATTTACTTCAAGGAGAAGTGATATTCACAGTTATGGATTAGTGAAGCTTATTTAGAAAGAAAGAAAACCCGAGCCCCCTTCATAATAAATATGACAAGTGATAGAGACAGGCTGCTAAACTAGGAAGTTCTGCCAAAGAAGCAGAAGAAGATTTACTCAAGACATGTTTTTTTATAAGAAAGCCACAGTGCATGCACTCACGCCTACACACAGTTAATCTTCTATAGAAACTCTTTATATACATTATGGTTTCGGGCCACTGTTCAGACATCACACAGAGTATAACACTTTCTCATCATAATTAAATGCCAGCGCAGAGGAATATGTTAATATCCAAGTTCCAGAAGAGATCCATCATGGAGCCTTGTGTGGGCTAGCAAAGATGATACATATTGGACACATTCTTGGCCACCCATATGAAGCAAGAGGAGCCAAGGTTTCTCCTGAGCGTCTTGTGCTGCAGTTCTGCATCTGAACAGCTTGCAGTTGCTCCAGATGCTGCTTTCTGGCTGCTCTGGAAGAGGAAGAGAGGGAGGGAGGGGGAGGGGGAAAGAAGGAATCAAATCACTGGAAAGGGTGGATTTTAAAATGGATTAAGATGACAGCCAAGAATATGAAGGGTGGTGGAAAATCCAGAAGACCCACAGCTCCTGTCTAGTGCATGCTTGCCAAGTCACACAGATCTGTAGTGTGACACATGTCTTCCATTTTGAATTGCATGACCACACACATAACTCTCTTGTTCACTGTGCTTTTCTACAGGTTCTCTCTCTCTTGGCTTAAAGTGCCAGAACCACACACTGTGTGTACTACTGTATAGTGCCTTTCTTCTTCTCATCCCTAAAGTGTTTATTGATTTTAAGAATAAAAACAACACAGAGAGTGTGCCCTAGAGGTTACACTGAGGTAATGTTCACAAGCAAATGATTCTTCTGGTATTTTCCCATTTAAATGTTCTTTTGTGATATTTCTATATAGACTTGCACATGAAAATGCAGGACAAGAGGGAGAGGCAGAAGCAATGAGAAATGTGAAAGATATATATATATATATATATATATATATATATATATATATATATATATATATATGTTTTTTCTGAGGTTTTCGCGGGCGGGAGAAAACCCGAACAACCAAAGACCTATATATATATATATATATATATATATATATATATATATATATATATATATATATATATATTGTTTGCCTGAAGATGACGAATGGGACTTCGTCAAAACGTCACCAAGACACTTCCAATTTTACGCAGGAGAAAACCCAATAACCAAAGACCTACATACAAACACCCATGAAAACCTCAGAAAACAAACATATATAATTCTGAATTGGATTAATATTTTCAGATATATTCAGAGTCTGAAAAATTTAGTACTGCCTGATTCCCTAAGCCAGGGGTAGGCAACCTTGGCTCTTTTATGACTTGTGGACTTCAACTCCCAGAATTCCTGAGCCAGCCATGCGTCATAAAAGATCCAAGGTTGCCTACCCCTGCCCTAAGCTATCAATATCACTACATACTTAGGCTGCAAGCAAACAATAATATTCTAATAAAGTTGAAAGTTTCCCATGGTATTTGTTGATTGATTATATCCCATTAGGTTTCTCAATTTTGGAAAATCAGATTTTAAAAAATGTTAACCAGAAGTACATGCCCCATAGAACAATTCCTTTTTCTATTCATTGGGGAAACAGCAATGGTCATTTCTCACTTAAAGGCATGGTTTCCCAACCATGGCAACTTTAAGACACGTGGACTTCAACTCCCAGATTTCCCTAGCCAACCATGTTGGCTGGGGAATTCTGGGAGTTGAAGTCCATGTGTCTTAAAGTTGCCAGGGTTGGAAAAGTCTGCTTCAAGAGATTGGCTCTGGACAGGGAAGACTCAGGCTTTTTCAATCTTGCAACCATGACATTCTCTTGATACTTCAATTGCACTGAATTAAGAATAATAAAATATCTCATTCAGGATTATACTACTGTCCTAATTCTAATTGCCGAAGTGGGGCACTCAGCCTGAAAGTTTGAAGTCTCTGAAATGAGAACAGAGTAACATGTAACATGTTGAACTTGCTCTTTCTTTAGACTGAGTCCTTAAAGATTAGATAGCTGTATTAATCATTACTGCAATCTCAATTAATATGCAGGTTTCTAAGATACGTTAAAATTTTCATCAGACATTGAAGAGAAGATTAGTTAGTCTGTAATGTTTGCACTGCTCCTTGATAGGCTCCATACTGTGAACCCATGTTATATGTCTCTTTTTGGCAGATAAATTGATTTATTTCCACTTCAAACATAGTTCAAAACAGTCTGAAGTTGACTTCAGTTGGAAATGCTGGAAGCTCTGTGGAGTAAGCCCTTTGCCACTGGAGGGAGTTCTTTCTTATTAGGCTTATCAGCTCTTCAATTTCAACTGTCCAAAAGTAGAGGGGAAATTGAAACAATATGGTGTCAGTTTGGGACAGGACAATACCCACCAAATGGCACATTACTTGTTTTTTTTAAAAAAAAAAAATCTTCTCATTCTTCTTCCTTTTGTAGTAATCTAGATGCATGAATTTTTGTTGCTGCAGGATTTGCCAGGATTTTGTAATTTACAGCCATAATAAAGGCAAAATGGACTTTGAAGAAACAAACTGGACTTCGAAAAAGCAGGATAGGAAGAGTACTGACATTTCTAAACTTTCTTGAGGATGCTTTGGATAGCCAAGAAAACAACCTGATATATCATCAAAAACAAAGCAATCCAGAGGCACAAATGATGTGGTTTAAATTATTCTATTGTGAACACGTTATGCAAGGACTTAACTTGGAGAAGGCTCTAATACTGTACTCGGAAAGCTGGAAGAAAAGAGAAGACAATCAGCAGCAATGTGGATGGACTCAGTTATAGGAGTTATGAATGCACCATTGAAAAGACCAGGTGAGGGACAGATTGTTATGCTGAAAATCTATCTATATAGTTGCTAAGAATCAACAACAATGTGATGGCCTATAGTCAGTCAGTTAATCAATCAATCAATCAATCAAAATAAAGCCAAAGTAGGTTTTCAGATTTTTTTTATAGTCATTGCTAATTAACTGTATGTGTTTGTGAATGGAATAGTTTTTTGTGGCTCTCTGATTATCTGAACCATAAGCAATTTTTAACTGTGTTATCTATATGGTTGAAATATATTTTTCTTTAATGTGATGAAATATAGATTTATCACCAGTGACCAAAGAAATGTATACAATTTATTAATGTCTTGTCCACATGGATATAAAACTGCCCTTCATGTTTATAAGCATCTAAGGCAGGGTGGGTACAATTGGAAACAATAATAAGCATGCTCATGTCTTTAGCTTTGAAATTCATTTCCATGAATATTTGCCAATGAAATTCAATAACGCAAAATGTTCAAAGAAAGGGAACATGAAAAGGGACACAAGCATAGCCAAAATGAATCTATTTAGTGACAAAAATGAATATGCAGAGAAAATCTGAAAATGTTCCTTCAGCTCAAAGCAAACAAGTTACAAAGCCAAACCTCAAAAGCATTAATGTTTTGTTAGCTGACTTTTTCACCTTAACACAAACGTGACAAACAGCATGAGCAAAAGAACAAAATCTACTTACAAAAAAAAGACTTCTCAAAAAAAATCCAATGATGCAAACTGAAAATATGCTTTTAAGAATTTTTTTTCAAGAATTTAGATTTGCTTAAGACATACAAATATTTGTAATTTATGAAAAAGACCCAATAGTTTGGGTACTTTTGAAACTTAATGTCAGGTAAGGTAGTTGTTAGTTATCACAAAAGAGAAATAATGTCCTCAAAAAAGTAAATAGAAATGTCATCAATTTTGCATTAAATGTGCATATTTTATTTATATAGTTATGAATAAATACTTTTAGAAATAAATAATGTAAATAAAAATAAAATCTATTGCATTACCATGGGAAGACTAGGATTGTATGAATTCCGAGCCTACTCTATTGTAGTAAATTGTTGACTGACAACTTCAGCTTCTTTCATTTCATAATACTTTATCCAATCCAAACTTGGATTGGACAACACATTCCATATAGGCCACCATCAGATGGTATCTTTTGTAAAATAGGATACCATCCTAGTTGTATTGTGGTACATGAAAACCATAAGACGGTCAATATTGGGCCTCTCTTACATTATTAGCCACAAACTAGGACCAATATTGAAATTATAGGAGACATCACTAGTAACCTGTCAAACCATTTTCCTACAGGAATCCAATAGAAAAATTTCAAGAGAGAGCCTGGGGGCAGAATCAAGAGAGCCCTCAGCCTAGAATCATTACATGTCCACAAATGCTCCAAGTCCATCCCCCCTAGAATTATAGCACTAATTTAGTGCTGACCATTAGTTAACTAAATTGTTGTGTATAGGCTTGAGCAATAAATCTTGTTAACTAGAATTTACCATATGGTTCTGATTTTTTTGCACCTGACAATAATGTTATTTGCTGTAATACAGATAGTCCTAAACTTAGAACCACAATTGGAACTGGATTTTTCAGTCATAAATCAGGGCAATCATAAACCATCATCACATCACCATACCCAATTTTATGACCATTTTTACTATGTGGTTAAGCAAATAATGCTATTAAGCAAATCATATGATTATTAAGTGAATTCAAATGGCGATCACATGACCATGGGATGATGCAATAGTCATAAGTTTAAGGACAAAATCACTGTTTCCAAGACCATCATAACTTTAAACTGTCATTAAACGAACAATCATAGGTCAAGGACTACCTGTACTAGCATGGAGAATCCATTAAAATATAAAGACTCAAAATATTTTTTAAAGAATATTCTGTAGAAACCAGACATTACTATACTTGTTATATTTGTAAGGTAAAATGATGTTTCTGGGAATAGCTATAATATAACAATGTTTCATTATAACAAAAATATTGTTTTTCTTTTTAACTTTCAAGAATTGCTTCTGGATTATGGAAGAACATTATCATTTATCAAGGGCACTATCTAATAAATGTCCATTCTGCTTATACCACTTACATATCCGCATTGGCTTCTGGAGGCTAATTTTGACTATTCTGGAATATAACTTGAACTATTATGAAAATGTTGAGCTATGTTAAATCAAATTTTTCAGTGTTATTCAATCCATGGCAGCTGTAGAAAACACCAGTGTTTTATCTCTGTTTCTGAAAAAGCTGATTCTTCATAAATTGAAATCCTAAGAATCTTAATACTCACTATAATATTACTGATTGGAATGGGGATGGTACAAACAAGATTCACCAAATCCAATGTAATCCATGTTATGTTCCCCATCTGAACCATGGCAGAGCTACTTGTTATCAATTCCTAGTCTTCAAATGCCTTCCTTTGCAACCTATTTGTAGTGTCCTCTAGCCCAGTAGTGGCAAACCTCTGGCACCTGTGCACTCAGAGCCCTCTCTGTGGGCATTTGCGCCATCGCCCCAGCCCTAGGCCATCAGCTGGGTTTTATAAAACCTTTTCGCTTTAGGTCTCCACCACGTGTGCAAAAAAAAAAAAGGTTCAATCAATCAGTCAATTTCAACTTCTCATGGGAAAAAAAAGATCTTGTAAAATTGGAATTGATTGATTGAACTTTTTAGTCCCACCCAGTCTGCCGTTATCACTGCAGCCATGCCCACCCAATGGGCCACACCCACCCAATGCGCCACACCCACCTGGCATCCAAAGATGCATAAGTGGGTTTTGGGTTGCAGTTTGGGCACTCGGTCTCTAAAAGGTTCGCCATCACTGCTCTAGCCTGATGTCTATTAAAGTAATTCAAGGACTTACAGTTAGCACAGCTTGATTCAGGAAGGCTGAATTCTATATTTGTATTGACTCTACCATTCTTAATTACACTGTACTTTTCTTCTTCCCCTAAATTCAAGGCTTTCAGCTTAGTTGAAGCACAGGAGAATCATTGCAAAGATAGATTTGCAAAGGCCATCTTGGAGCTGGATGGTTTCCCATTTAGTGGACCTTCTTCTGCTTCCTAGTTTATCAGCAATATTCCTCCCTCCCTGTTAAAGCTACAGTGCTATGGCAACATCTCATCATGCTCTAAAATGAGCAGAAGAGTACTGGTGACCGATCTTTTGGTTTACATTGTGGAAAACAAATGTAGGACAAACTAAGGGATAAGAGGAATAAAAAACTGACTAGATGCCATTTTTACATTCTCCAATTGGGGCCATCAGAGAGATGCTGGTTTTGAGCATAATGGGACATCTGCAGGTTTGAAGATAAAAACAATGGCCATGTGGAAGTGAATTCTCATGAAGGAGAATTCCCATCAAAGCTGTTGACAAAACAAGTCCTTTTTTCCTGGACTAAGGAATATTTCTTTGTAAGAACCACATCAAATCCTGAAATATTTCATTTGCATTATTGTATTGTCATTTTAATAAGTGGTGATTTGACAGAACGGAATTAGGATGGATCAAAACAAATGTATATTCCTAGTTTGGGCCCCAACTCTATTCAGTTGTTTTACTTCTTATCTCCTGGGTGACCCTGAATTCTTGAATTGAATGTAGAATGGGCCAAATATATTAAAATATAAGGTACTGTATTTCCCTTACCTTATTTATTTATTTATTTATTTATTTATTTATAAAATTTATATGCCGCCCAATCCCTAGGGACTCAGGGCAGCGTACAAAATTAAAACAATAAATATAACAATAAAAATGAGTGCATTCATACAGCATGTCCTAATCGTGTCCCGCCCCCCCCCGGGGACATCAACCCCAGGCCTGTCGGAACAGGAGAGTTTTAATGGCTTTCTTGAAGGCCAGCAAGGTGGGAATAGTTCGAATCTCAGGGGGAAGTTGATTCCACCACGTCGGAGCCACCACAGAAAAGGCCCTTCCCCGAGGGCCTGCCAGCCGACATTGTCTGGCCGACGGGACCTGAAGGAGGCCCAATCTGTAGGACCTCACTGGTCTCTGGGAACTATGCAGCAGTATGCAGTCCTGTAAATAACCTGGTCCTAAGCCATGAAGGGCTTTAAAGGTGATAACCAACACCTTGAATTGCGTCTGAAGACCCACAGAAAGCCAGTGCAGCTCGTGGAGGATAGGTGACACGTGGGTGTACCTTGGTGCACCCACAATCGCTCTCACGGCTGCATTCTGAACCAACTGCAGCCTCCGAACGCTCTTCAAGGGTAGCCCCATGTAGAGCGCATTACAGTAATCCAGTCTTGAGGTGACAAGGGCATGAGTAAATGTGAGTAGAGCCTCCCAGTCCAAATAAGGCCACAACTGGTGCACCAGGCGAACCTGGGCAAAGGTCCCCCTGGCCACAGCCGATAGATGTTGTTCCAAATTTAGCTGTGAGTCCAGGAGGACACCCAAGTTGCGTGCCTGAACTGAGGGAGGTAAGTTTACCCCCCCCCAGGACCAATGATGAACCATCAGGATGACCCTTGGGGGGCAAGACCCAGAGCCACTCGGTCTTGTCAGGGTTGAGTCTAAGTCTGTTCACCCCCATCCAGACCCTCACATCTTCCAGGCACCAGCACATCACATCGACTGCTTCACTGAAAGGACACGGGGTGGAGATATACAATTGGGTATCATCCGCATACTGATGATACCTCACCCCGTGTCGCTGAATGATCTCACCCAGCGGTTTCATGTAGATGTTTAAAAGGAGGGGGGACAGGACCGAGCCCTGAGGCACCCGATAATCGAGGCGCCTAGGGGTCAATCTCTGTCCGCCCACCAACACCGACTGCGACCTGTCAGAGAGGTAGGAGGAGAACCACCGCAATAGGGTGCCGCCCACCCCCACCTCCCTGAGACGACGCAGAAGGATACCATGGTCGATGGTATCAAAAGCCGCTGAGAGGTCAAGAAGCACCAAAATAGAGGAATGACCCC